ATGTTATGTTATAACTTTTGATGAACTTCTTTGTACCATTGTAACTATATGGTGTTTGAGAAATAAAGAATCTTGAATCTTGAAATCTTGTTCGTTATATATGTAAATACGAAATCATGTCATATCGGAATGGGAACATGAATTTCGATAACACTTTGAGGGGGAGTGCCACGCTCTAGGGTCTTAACTTTAAAGAACCAGCGATACATTTCTTTGAGAGGTGCGTTTGCGTCCTATTGTAAGGCACTTTTTCTGTCCTCTTTCACCAGTGTCAGTCCAAATTTCCAATCCTTCATCCTGGTCGACCGACTTTGCAGACCCGACGTACTGCATCTACATGTATGATCTTCTATAGACGTATTTACACTTGAATGCATTTGTCTCATTACTGAAACACATAAGGCAGTGGCGTATCCAAGGGAAGGGGGTGGTTCCGCAGGTTGGAACCCCCCTTTTATTGACGATTAATGCTTTTGAATAGGGACATATGGTTGGAACCCCCATTTGTCCTGGGTTGGAACTCTTCCTTTTAAAAATGACTGGATCCGCCCATGCAAGTTCCGGCAAAATATTGCATCACAAGTTAAATATTTGACGTCATAAATAAAATGTGATTGTTGCCAGCAGGTTTTTCGGTCATTCGGCGACAAGTCAGCTTATTTCCCACCAGGTTGAATACTTCTACTGTTAATTGTTTTCCTCCTGAAAAAGGATAAAATAATTATTACTTCATGTCAAGCATATAACAATCAATTAATCAATTTACTTTTTGTAATTAGATTTTATCAGACTTACAAAACATGTAGATGTTTCACACTTAAGCAAACTAATGAAAATTGATTACACAGTGATCTAAAAGCAGTTGAGATCTTATTTTCGTTCTGTTATACGGTCATTTACTCAAATTTGCATTTCTCATTTAAGACAACTGGGGGAACACATAGTTCTTAATACCATACTTATAAATATTCATCAATCTGAGGATATTAACCTTGATGTGTATATATTAAATGGTTCTTAAAATACATATTAAGGTAACCCGAATAATCCAGTCGTTATATTTCGCTCACGACGATCACTCTATTAACTCATCTGGAGAAATCTAACTGTAAGAGGGCGCTGTATTATTAGATAACTATCAAGGTTGATACCCTATGGGTAAGGAAAATAAAGTAATCCTACCAAATAAAAACATGGACTAAAGGTTAAACCTGGGTCAATGGTTTACCTTGCTTGGAAAACTATTAGGACTTGTATCATTTATTTACTTAAGCTTCGATATAAACGATTTACTGATGTGAAATTAATAACAGAAAAGACTATATTAATGTTCTTTAATTTAAACGAGAAAGCCGTTTGAGGCCAAGCGAAAAACAATTATATGTCTGTTATTACCATTCTAATGGATCTATACTCAGTCTGAAACAATTCTACTCCAAACATATTAACTAAGTTAACTGCTAAGTAATCAAACTTTAAAAGAGGTCAGACAATTTTTAATAAAATCGAAACTAACAAAAAATACCATAATTCTGTTATTTTGAAGAATCTGGCAAAATAACTTGTCAGGGTATTTTAAATCTGTATACTTCATAAAAATGCAAAAAAAAAAACCCAAAAAAATTTGACCCTGGTACATTTGTACCTCCATAAGCCTGACTGGTCATATATTTGAGAAATTGGTTTTTAGTTAACGGATTGTTTTCGGTTGTTAAAGAGAATTATTTACACGTTTATTTATTAAACATAAAGATAATTGGTCGAATAGAAATATTGAATAACCGTTAGATTTAAGTTCAATCTTCACCATAAGTCTTGACAGATATAAATGTATAATCTATACACAATCCATGAAAACGATCAATGATTTACATAATCACTGAAAATATTGATAATTATTTTGCAAATTCCCTAATATGATTCCAGGGATCGCCGATAATTTAAAGATAATTTAATTTAGAAAATTAGAATTAAATATAGCTAAATAAACCATTTGGGTTTTTTCTGATCTCTTTAAAGTTCATGTGAACAGTTTTCATTCCCTATCCATAAGTCAAATCTTTAAAATTGAACAGTTTTTCCAGTGATGTAGTATTTAACTGTGTTGAACCACATAAACACCCCCATAGAACAAATAAGAATGGCATATACACAGAGGTTGGTTCAAACGTATGCTCATAAGTTCTTGTAAATTGCCGATTATAAAACAAAATGCAAGATATGACCTAAGAACAAATATAATGAAATTGTTAATTTTATGACTACAGAACAAAGCAAAGAGGAAAACACTCCTGCTAAAAAGTATTGAGATTATGATTTATGCTGTTACCAACTTTTTCATTCATACATGTCAACCTCTTTCAGAGTTCAACAACAATTATTTGCTCTGACCAACAATTATTCGCTCTGACCAACAATTCGCTTTGGAAATACGTTTGCTAAGTTTTTGTGTTCATGTCAATTTCTTGTTCGTACGTCCGTCTGTTTCAATCTTGTTAACTTGTTTATTTAAAAGGCTTTGGATCTTTTTGAAGAGTAGTGTGAAGAATGTTAACTTAAGCCAGACCATTGCAAGAAAGGAACTTGTTGTTAGACCTTTTTTCACCAAAGAATTTCATTCGGATCTACTTGATATGCAACCGTTAAGTTTTAACGAATCTAAGTTTATTTCGGTTTACCAAGACCATGTGACAAATTGTATGGTTCTAAACAGTGCAAACGCTTATATAAAAGATATGACAAGTACACGGATGCGAGATAATGTTTTTAAGATTGACCTGTGGGAATAAAATTTGTACACTTCCAAAAATGCAAAGCTTGCACTCTGATATGAAACGGACGCCCTAAACGACATTGCTTGGAGTAGAGACAAAGGTTAGCTCAACAACATCCTCTTTGCCTAATGTAATAATTTTAATTTTTTAAACACAGGGGATGACTTAAAGATATTACTAACACAAGGTTTCTAGATAGCGTTGGATATATTGAAATTGAAATAACACCAACATAACAATTGATAAAGATAATTGTACATGTATTATTTGCCAAAAACCAGCGTCATATGCACATTTATGCTTTAAAATCAGTGCACGTAATTTGCGGTAAACCAAATGTTGATGAAGGTAAAAGTACATATGTTTGATGATTTCTCTGTTCTTATGAACAAGGAATTCAAAATAAGAGATCTAACGGACCTATGTGTACAGACAGAACACGTACTTGACAGACAATGATTCCGCGTGTTGGTCGCGAAATAGGGCCCACTAAATTACAATGGCCATCGTTCCTGAAAAGACCAAAAAGGGCTATCATTCGCCTTGCTATGAAACATAAATGTTTTCCTAGGATCCTACACACGGAATCAATTGACCTTGGCTGATTCACTATTATTTTGGCACCTTTATATGTTTCTACTGCAAACCTTGTTTCTCTTCGACGTGCGTGTAGTCCGATTCTGCTTATAATGTCTCTTTACGATAGGTTTAGGTTTATGAGAGAGAAAGTAAGACTAAGATAATTTTTAATGTGTCATATTTTGTTTTCCCGGGGCTTTCAATATCTCACTATACGTTATTGAATTTGCTCATTGTTGAGGTTTTATGGTTATCTGTATTTTAAAATTCTTATCCTGTGGTCATTGATGGAAAGTTGTCTCAATCATACCGCCTCTCTTTATTTTTTGTTTATTTATATAATATAATGATACAATGAGTTCGCAACCAAAGATGACAATAAAACAAAACTAAACATTTAAAGGTCAGAATGAGATCACCAGTCATACATCCATATCTTATTTCAAGCTCTGCTTTGTACCGAATTTAGACAAGTCGTGGAGAATGTCAACAGATAGACTGTCATCAACATCTAATAAGAAAAAAAGAGGTAAAAGTTAACATACAGGTACAAGGAACAATCGTATTAAAATGCCAACCTATCTGGACAGGCGAGGGTTTTTACGAGTGCATTTACATGCATGTGATAGGGTTACGACTAGTTTTGTTGTTCAAACCTGCGCTAGACCTATATTGTAACTTTTCTTCCTCAGTTAGTGAAATACAAAGAGGTAGAGCGGGGGGAAACAGCCATACCAGCACAGAAATTAACACTATCCATATTTGCTGTCTATTGACAATTACCTAACACATCATTTTGCCATAATACACAGTCTCGTGATAACCAATACAAGATACGCCAATCTCGTAAAAACAATTTCAAAGACTTAGTATTCTATTTGGTAACATAAAATCTTCCTTTCTATCATAATTTCATATAGCTACCTTATAACGTATTGTTTACTAAAATGGTCCCACGATCTGATGGCACACCACAGGCACTTGTCATATAAAGGTATATGGGTAAAGAAATCAGAGACACGTGCCTGTACCAAGTCAGGAATATGACAGTTGTTGTCCATTCGTTTGATGTGTTTTGTCATTTGATTTTGCCATGTGATTAGGGACTTTCCGATTGAATTTTCCTCGGAGTTCAGTATTTTTGTGATTTTACTTTTCACACACGTCACTTTAAAAATGCATAACAAGATGAGTATTTACAAACATTTTTTTGCAAAACTTTAACGGCAAATCTTAATTTAAGAAAGGCATACTTCATTTTTTTATTGCATCAATTGCGATTTTAAGATATTCTTTTTATAATTTCATTCATGTAGACATGAAAAATGTTATCCGCTTCATTCTGTTAATCAAAAAGATGTAAATAATTGATCTATATAAAAAAAAAGACAGATTTATTTCATAATTACGACTAAAGTTAATATTACAAAAATTAATAGTATATATATGATACATGAAGATTTTTTTTAAATTCTCTGTGAGTATACAAAACACGGAATTGTTATAAGACTTTTTATATAAAGGTTCTAAATTTACAATTATGGACAGATCTTTTAAATGTTTGACGAGTAACAAGAATATTGACCGGTTTAATGCGTTTACATGACACTGGTATCCATGAGAATATGTAAACATTTACACCTGTAATTACAGGTAAACTTGTTTCACGGTAATAATTAGACTTATTATAGTTTTAACAGTATGTATATTTAAAAATAATAACATATAGCATATTTCAAGTGAATTAAATTATATGAATTGCATATCTTAATTCAATTTACCCATTGCATTAATAAATCTTTTGCAGAAGCAAAATAACATATACAATAATATACATGTATTGCGCAATAGACTTTTAAATCTGTGTAAACCTGTCTTAGATGATTTATTTTTTATTTTGATGTTTTGTTTATATGTTAAATTCGGGTGAAAGATATGAAATTCATATCACATCAACACATGATGTGCTCGCCCTGAACATGTATGAAATATTTGCCACTGGACGTTCAGGTACCAACAATCAATCATCATGATATGCATGTTATATTTGTCACTTGACGTAAAACACAAATCCATCCGTCCATGAAACGTTTTTAATTGGATTTAGTGTATGGTCCAAACAAATCATGGACTAAATGTTAAGCAGTTTTTCATTATTTTAGTATCTTTTCAACGCTTCACTAGACTTTTTTTTGTATTCGGCTACTATAACTAGTCAATATAATTCTACCGGATAATTCAGTACTGGTCTTAATATGCTACTCTTTGTATGCTGCTAACGTAATCCTTCAAAATAATTTACAAAATTTTTCCTGCATTGCTACTTTAATATAAATTTTTGTACGATACTAAACATTTCAGTATTATCGGGATGTATGTCCAATTGGCATTCCCCTTGCAGTCGAAAATTAAATAGCCCACTTCAAAGTACATGTACATTACTTGAGAGTGACGATTGACGTAAAAAGATGGACAACTCCAGAAAGATGTCTGTCTTCAGAGGATCTCTTGACAATCTCCCAGCATTGAATTCAAGAGTTGTTAGAATATTCATCAGTTCCACTTTTACAGGTTTGTCAATTAAAGCAGATTTTAACATTGTAATATATCAATTCGCAAAATTAATTTATTAATGGGTATTTCTGTTTATATCAGTTACCATTGAAGGAGGGCCAAACCATGCAAACAGTAAAATAACAAAAATACCGAACTCAAAAGGAAAATTCAAAACGGAAAATCCTTTATCAAATGGCCAAAGCAAAAGCTCAAACACATCAAACGAATGGAAAACAACTGTCATATTCCTGACTTGGTACAGGCATTCCATGCAAGAAGGTGGAGACGTTTTGTTTAACAACTGTCCTATTAAATGTCGACCAATTCATACCCATAAAACTTTGTAATGGTGATATATATAATTCATGCTAAAGACCTAATTTCTTCAGAAGCTGATAACTCATAGGCGTTTTTTGTTCAAACTTTTTTTATCGGTGACCGAGTTGTCTAAGTTGACCATCTACAATATCACAAGCCTGTCAAAACTGAGGTTTTGAGTTCGAACCCCGGATGTGGCAGGTGCGTTTGACTCCGATATTAATCAAATAGCATAACCAGTATGTCTGCGGAAGGTCGGCGATTCTCTCAGTGTATTTCGACTTCCTCAACCAATAAAAACTGGTAGTTATGATATAGTCAAGAATGCTGAAAGTAGCGTTAAACACCAACAATCAATCACTCTTTTTTCCTAAGATTAACAGTATAACAGCATCATGTATGTACTACAAGTTGAAAGAATAAATTGAATATCTTTATTTCTGAACCAAAATATAAACGCTTAAGTATGGCTAAAACTGGAATTTCAAAGGGGAAAAAAAACGATTGTTCAATTTTTAATGTTTCAATAAAAATAAACAAGAAATACATTATTAACACAAACCAACATTCTATCGGAAGTATACATAATATCATCGGTATAAGGACATCATTCGTAACTATAGCTCAACATGCAGACTTCTTATACGTTCAGGTATTTCACATCCAATTTTTTATGGAAATATTCTTTATAAAGCACAAAAATGTCAGTATTCACCTCTGAAGCTAACAAAACCTTTAAATAGACTTATTAAGAAGGGATATAGTTACGATACTGTTGTCAGGTCATTAAAGATTGCATATTTTGGCGTTAATATTGATTCACTTATAGGGTCTTTGCATCGGCACTAAACACATTTATTTAAAAACCAGTTGTTGGCATGACACGGGTTATGTTCTTCTCATATATGTTATGATGGTATGATACTAAACCCCTAACGGGAAGGATTGTGCCTGATATTCATATGATGAAGACATAATCTTTCAATCAGTTTAATTGAAGTCTGGAGCTGGCATGTCAATTAACTGCTAGTAGTCTGTTTGTAATTTATGTATTATTGTCATTTTGTTTATTTTCTTTGGTTACATCTTCTGACATCAGACTCGGACTTCTCTTGAACTGAATTTTAATGTGCGTATTGTTATGCGTTTACTTTTCTACATTGGCTAGAGGTATAGGGGGAGGGTTGAGATCTCATAAACATGTTTAACCCCGCCGCGTTTTTGCGCCTGTCCCAAGTCAGGAGCCTCTAGTTTTTGTTAGTCTTGTATTATTTTAAATTTTAGTTTCTTGTGTACAATTTGGAGTTTAGTATGGCGTTCATTATCACTGAACTAGTATATATATTTGTTTAGGGGCCAGCTGAAGGACGCCTCCAGGTGCGGGAATTTCTCGCTGCATTGAAGACCTGTTGGTGACCTTCTGCTGTTGTCTGTTCTATGGTCGGGTTGTTGTCTCTTTGACACATTCCCCATTTCCATTCTCAATTTTATAATATGTTGTTTCTTTCAGATACAAATTAATTTCAATTTAGATGTCTATTCATGCAACATTTAAAAAAACACGTTTAATTTGAAATAGTATAAAAAATCGTCATCAACCAAAATGAATAACACTTAGATTTTATAGATACGTGTGAAATTGTTGATCATCTTTGATTTTCAACTTCGGAAAACGACATATAAAATCAAGTACCAAATATGTTCAATATAGAGTAAATTTAAATTGCAGACACGTATGAGGAAAGGAATATGCTGATGGAAGATGTATATCCAAGAATAAAGGCTCATTGTAAGGAAAAACATGGACTGGAATTTCAGGTAATTTCTTTTTCAATTTGTACCATCTCTAAGCATCCTTTCAAGACAGACAAGTTATAAAGTTTTCATATTCTGCATAAGATAATACTTTCATGGCAAATTTTTATCGTTTTAAAAGTGAAATTTTAAAGAATGAAGTCTAAGTAGACATGTTCAGCCGTGCTAAAATGTGGGAAAACTGTAATACACAATTCTTATACAGGTAATGTTCCTATATTTATACAATTAAATTTGCTTATGTAAAGTGGTAAGAATCTAAGCATAAATTTTCAGATTGTGTTTTATATTTCTTTGTACGTTTTCTTTAGGTAATCGACATGAGATGGGGCGTACCAGAAGAGGCTTCAGATGATCACATGTCTTCCTTGCTTTGTTTACAAGAAATCTACAACTGTCAAAAGGTGTCAACTGGTCCAAGTTTTGTGGTACGTAACAAAGTGTTTACACATTTAGATCACTTCTTTTCGTGAACAGAAAAATATGTCATTACTAGTCACAACACGTTATGTCTTATCCTTTAACCCTTAGGAAACAAAGTCAATTGAGTTTCTCTCATCTGTCAGTAAATCATATTTCAAAGAGGGACGCCTGTTTATTGTGTGGGATATATTAATGCGCAGCCGTGTCTACTCAGAATTCGGGTGTGAAGTCGATGCGTCGATGTATAGAAAACGTGCATATTATTTGCTCCTTAAGGTATGTAGGTGGCATGTTGCAAGGCAGAGTTTCTGTCCCTACCAAGCATTCGATTTTTTTTTTCAGTGGCAGTATTAAATTCCCGCCCTTCATCCAAGTCGTTTCAATTTTTACCTTTTGGATTTATTGTTTATTTGTTTTCGATGTGAGTATGCATAAAATGGTGCCATTGGACTTTAAACAAACAACATTCTAACGATTTTACCCACCAATAATAAAGGTGCGTTTGCGAATCGGCGATAAATATATTAATTTAAATAATTATGTGAACCTATTTATACTGACAGTTAAGCCTTTTTCAACTGATTTTTTATAGTTTGTTCTTATGTTGTACTGTTACACCACTGTCCGGGGTTAGGGGGGGATTTGGCGCCCACCACATTCTTTATGTGCATGTACCAAGTCAGGAGTCATTGTTGAAGGCTGTACGGTTGCCTATAATTGCTAAAATCCACTTCATTTTAACTTTGTTTGATAGTTGTCTCATTGGCAATCATACCACATCTCCTTATTTTTATATTATCGTCGTCTCTGCACACTATACACGATCTAGCGTGATATTGGTTTAGATGTAAAGTCAAAATTACTACCATTCAATTTTTATCTGGATATTACATGTGAAATTTTAGAGAGAAAAAACTTATTGGCCACGATCTTGTATTCCTGCACTGTATGTGACATTTCTATTTAAAATGTATCCCGAAATACAACCGCCGATATTAGAGTGTAAGATAGGTATGATTTCATATCAACAGGTTTGATACGAATAGTTTCTTTTATTAATTTGGGGATTCTTTAATACGCTACTTCTGTATTATAATTATTGTGTCAAATATACAGTTCATATCCTGAATAGATTTTTTTTTACGTCTGTTATCTGTATACCTTTTGTTTTTTTACTGATTGAGATTTCATAGGTGAGTTTTTTTTAGATCTTTAAAGGCAGGTTTAACTCCACCATGTACACATGCCTGGCTTGAGTGAATTTTGTCAGGGGTTGGCTACAGTAATATCTCAAATTGTGTTGTATTTGTCTATAATAAAATAATTTGGTATCGATTTGATATCTTTTATAGTCACTGTCAAGTTTGTCCTTATCTTTTCTTACCCTAATGCAAAACGCATTGCCCAAAACACTGCTACCATTCCGTTATTTTATCTTTCAATTTTGTTAATCCAATATTTTATAGACATTCTTAAACCAAAAGCATGGTTACCGACCACTGCCACTTACTATTGTCAGTTCAGAATACAATTTATTAGTACAAACATTGATTGATTCTGGTGAAGACTCGGCGTTGCTTGTCAAATGGTACGAGGAAGACCTTAATGCTGTTCCACCTGTGCATGTTCTACAGCCGATCAGTGCAGTGATACCAGACTATAAATCGAAGGTAGGTATTCATTAAACATCGTTGCATTTACCAGTATCATCTTATATATGGCAGTATTCATGACTGTTATACTATAACAACGTTTCTAACTTGCTTTCTCCAATCATTTCAACCATAGCTACCTGTTTGCATCATATGGTTAAACAGATGCTCAATACAGTCTTTTAATACTGTTTTGTGTAGTGACCGTTATTTGTTGGTTACAATGAGTTCGGGAGAGAAATTATTTTCCACTTTTTAATAATAAGGTAGCTGGTGTGTCTTCAGATAGGATCACAAATACAACACATTTATTTTTCTTCGTAAATGTGCCACCGTTCTGTTCCGGTGCACTCACATATATGTACATGTGTTGCATTCGCATGACATTTTGTATATCTTCATATCTACAAAACTAAATTGAACCCTTACCTACAATATACATTGCAAAGAAAATTCTGCTGTACTCAAAGCGTCCAGTTGAAGATTTGTCACATCATAAGAGGGTACTGATAGTTTGATTGTGTAACATTTTTTTCTCGTCTTCGTAACGTGTCAGTCTCTTAAGACATTTACTGAACTTTATTTAACAAACTTCACTTTTTTGTTCAAGAATTGAATGCTCTTATACTTATTATACATGTACAGTTATTAGCTGAGGTTTCTATTGAATATATTTATATTACATGTACTCTACCTAGAATATAATAAACAACTTATTATAGTGTTATTAAACATAGGTTGGCAATAATTATGTCAGTTTTCTTGTTTCTCCTTCCTTTATAATTTCGTTTAACTATCTGGAATCTATGACTCTGACATGACACATTCTTCATTTATGTTAAAGACACCCACTGAAAAAAGAAAAGAATGGCAACCGATCTACAATATTCTAGGACAGAAGTTAAGATTGGCAAGTCAAAAATGTTTTGAAAATAAGAAACTGAGCGAGGAAGACAAACTTAAATACTTCATGTCCGTAACAGAAGAAGAGATTATAGCAGGATTACTCAAGCTACCCGGCAACGCCTCGGAACAGTGCCTCTGCTTCATCAGATTGTTTGAGGATATTGATCTCAATGATAAAGTTGCCCCGCGGTTCATCGACATGTTAGAAATTGGAAAAGATGATAAATCTGAAAAGCAAAGAATAATTGACGAAGAAGCACAAAAAATATTGGAGAAACTGCGAGATGAAAAAGTAGCCAACAAAATAAAGGATAAGAATACCAGTTGGTCAAAGTAAGTATTAATATAGATGCCATTCACCAGTGTATCTTTTCATGCTATTCTTACTATCAATTTAAAAAGACAATGATTCCTAACAAGCTACTTTGATTAAGATTTGCAATCAACAGGTGTTGACTATACACCAGGATAATCATAAAAGTATCATGCAGCTATGAAGACTGGAAAAAGTTTGAAAAATCAGTTGTAATTATGAAGTATAAAAGTAGTAGTTATTTTATTTTGACAAACGGGTGAGGCTTCAAATAATGCATTTATAAAATATAAATCGATTTCACAGAAATTTTCGATTAAATGAAGGCCTATGTTTTGTCGCGGTTTTAGATATCTAGGACTAGATACTAGAACAGTCGTCTGATCTGTTAATTTACCTATTGTGTCATATTCCCGATTATGAAAATTTGTCGATTCGCATATGGTGGTTAATGCATGCATAGCAAGACACGCTTAATTAGTCGGTGCAACCAGTCTTGCTCCTTTTGATGTTCATGTGATCCCCTCAGTTTTTTTTTAAACTACTTTTGCCTCCAATTTAAGGATGTGGAAGTTAAAAACCTTCAACATTGTTGTAATTTACATACGTACGCGTAGACCAGTTGGTCTGAATTAACTGTATGATGTGGTTCTGAAAATATGACACATGGTGGAGTCAAACAAAGATGCACAACGTCAAAATGTAGTTTTAATATAATTTATAAAAAGATTATTGAAGCAATGCCAGTGCAGACATTTTGAAAGGACATGTTTAACGTAAAATGCATACCATGCATGTTGAGATGTAAAAATAACTGTCACTACTATTTTTTAATCTGATATTTCAAATTTCCGATTGAGTTACTTTGTAGAATCTTATTTTTATTCTCGTCCTGAATATGCAAGAAATATTTGCTACTGGACATACAACAAACATCAATCAACCAGTAACCTAATCATGTAAAACACGATGTGTTCATATATTGTTAAATATAATTATCAAATTAACTTAAACAGTTTTTGTTTCTTGTAACAGGTCTATTGTGAAATGGGCTCCTGAAGCAGGAATTGGAAAAGACCTCCATGAATCATACCTAAAGGAATTTGGAGACAAGTTTTACAGTAGTATGATCTCTTTGATTGATAAAGCTGTCACCAACAAACAAATTTTACTGCAAGATAGTTTGTATACTGAGGTATAATTGCACTAATTACTATTTATCATAAAGGTCAAATTTCTATCAGATAATAACTGTATACCTTGCGTCCATATTTAGGTTGATAAAAGATAAACATGCTAACTACATTCATGGTAATTTGAAAGATCTGTATGCATATCTACAAAAAACAATTAATCTTTAATTGGCAATCATGCCTCATGTCTTTCTTTGATATAATATAACATTAAGCAAACAATTATATACTATATTAACAGATTCCATATAATATGATTGTTAACATTTAACTCAAATCATTCCTTGGATATAAGATTCTGTAGTAAATGATAAATTTACAAACTTATTAAGTAATATTTATTTTATCTGCGACATATAGATTAGGTACATTTTATTAAGTGTTACTATCGTAAATCTTTTGAAAGCAGTCTATTCGTTAAACATACAAAATTATAATATGTTATAGGTTTTACAACACGCAACTATGGCAAGGGAAAGATGTGCAATATTCCATGGACGAGAGACAATCTTAGACAAGATTGCTGATTACTTACAGAGAAAAGACAAGTCACCGCTTACTGTCTATGGTCCTTCAGGCAGTGGTAAAACCTCTATCATTGCAGAGGCGGCAAGAAAGGTATTTAATAACATTTTACTAAAAACATAACGTCACAGTACCCAAATTGCACCCATTTAGCAAAACGTAGCAGCGGAAATCTTAGTTTTCTTAGAGACTAAACAATTTGTAGTTTTATGATTTAACATAATGCACTTCTTTCAACATAGTTGTTATTCCATATTCTTTAAAACTTACTTACTCTTTTATGGATCTTTTAACAGCCTGTTTCAATGCAAAATGTTTGACTGTTTCCGACATACTTTTATTTTAGTGGATGTCTAAATTCCCACTCTTCTTTCCAGTCGACCAACCCTTTAAATCATACAAAGTGGTTTCATTATTATATTTTCTCGTCCTGAATATGTAAAATAATAGCAACTGGACGTTTAGCAAACAAAAATCAATCAATCAATATGTACATTGTAAATATTTTGTAACTCTTATTATTTCTAAAAATCATTTCTTCCATGTCTATCATTCTTCATTTCTTCAATTCAGTTCTCCAACCATATGCCTTTAAAAACCAATATACATATTACTGTCAATCTGGTTGTATTTGAATTCAAAAGTTTCTCTATCGACTTTCTTGTCACTTTTGTGTTAAAATAAGTTTTGATGATTTCCAAATGATTTGATTTTGAATAAGCGGTGAAAAAATATCTTGAAATGCACACCAGTACCACGTAAGGTAAAATTGTTTTGTTTTTACAGGTGCAGTTTGTAAAACATAAGGATGCAATCACCATTTTCCGTTTCCTTGGAACTTCCCCAGACAGTAGTAATGTTTACAGACTTTTACATAGTCTTTGTCAGCAGATTATGTTGGTAACTACAGGGAAGGAGCCGAATCTACCTCAGGACATTGACGACCTAACCCGTTTATTTCACAAACTAATTAGGGAGTACAAATCGAATAAACCTTTGGTTATACTTCTCGATTCCTTAGACCAATTGTCCAAAGAACATGCAGCACACAAACTTCATTGGCTTCCTAAAACTCTTCCCGAAGACGTGAAGATTGTAACTTCAACATATATTGAGTCTACCGATATCATTGTATTGCTTAAATCTTTGTTCTCCCCAGACAATTTTATTCTTGTTCCTAAGCTCGGGGAGGAATTAAGCTGTAAAATTCTTAAATCATGGTTGGATGGTAAAAACAGAACTTTAACACATGAACAGTTCAATGTAATAGAAAATGCATTTACGAAATGTAGTTTACCAATTTATGTAAAACTTGTGTTTGAGAGTGTTATGGAATGGCGATCGTATACTGTTGTCGATAATAACAGTCTTGCCTTTACTGTCAAGGAGAGTATTATTCAACTTTTTGAACATCTTGAACGCAAACATGGAAAAATGTTTGTATCTAGGGCGTTTGCCTACATCACTGCCTCTAATTCTGGTCTTAGTGAAACCGAACTTGAAGATGTCCTTTCAATCGATGACAAGTTGTTGACTGATGTGTTCCGCATCCACGTGCCACCAATAACACGGATTCCGCCGTTATTATTTGTGCGCTTACGTCAAGATATATCATCCTATCTTGTCGATAGGGAAGTAGATGATACCACCGTATTTTATTGGTACCACAGACAATTCATAGAGGCAGCTCAATCACGATACCTGTCAGATGAAACTTTTGAGGATCAAATCCAATCTACATTGGCAGATTATTTTGTTGGAACCTGGTACAACAAACCAAAACCATTCACATATTCAGATTATCAGGTCAAAAAGCTTAAATTATCCTCAAATACCATCGAAACTGATAGGAAAATATCTCCACAGCCACTTACTTTCAAATACAATTTTGAAAACAAAGAAAAAGAGAGATTTAATAAACGAAAATTAAATCGATTACCATACCATCTGACTATGGCAGGCCGCATAGAAGAAGTGCGTTCTATGTGTCTGTTTAACTATGATTTCTTGTCAGCGAAAATCAAAGCCGTGTCTGTTCAACAAGTTTTAGAAGATTTTACTCTGAGTAAGAATCATGAAAGTACATTGTTTAGTGTACTCAAACAGATTCAGTCATCACTGATGGCATTTCCAAAGACTCTAGCAATTGAAATTTCCGGGCATTTGACCCCATTTCTAGCACAGAAAAAAGCATCTTTAGAAAAAATACTCGTTGAAAAGTGTTTTAACGTCATTAAATCTGAAGAGATGCCTGTACCATATCAGACTTCTTTCTCAATACCACATAACGCGTTGATGTACAAGTTCGAACATGAAGCTGTTCCGTTCGGTTCAAAGGTAGTAATGATCTCTAAAGATTCAAAGCATTTACTGGCTATGACCGTTGATAATGACCTCGTTTCCTGGGACCTGACTACAGGAGAACTTGAGAAAGAAATCCGTTTATACGATCCCCAGCAGTTAAAGATGAATATATTTACCATTGACAAAGATAAGGATGTCTGTTATTTATGTTCTAGCTATCAGAAGACTTTAAACATTCTTCTTGTTGTTAACATGGCCGCTTGTGAACTGATTAACACAATTTCACTTTCCAAGACCTATCCTGGAGTTGGTTTTGCCGACAGTTTAAAATTCGCTGTCACCAGTGATAAAATTTTCTGTATGTATGTTGGACATAACATTGATGTTTTTGATAAAGCAACTGGGAAGCATTTATTTGCTCTTGACCTGGTACCAGACAAGTTTCTAATGTTACCAGGCGAAAAGAAGGCTTTGATACATGAGAAAAATTCAACTAAGTTTTTCATGTACAACATTCTAAACAATAAAATTGAAAGTGAATTCAATATCAATGAAAATCCTAAAGATTTTATTTTCGCTCCTGTTGGAAAAGAGATCGTAGTATTGTACCGTGATTTATCATTGGTAAAGGTGTTTAATATAGATGCAACAGAAGGAAACGTTGGCGAATTGGTTTGCGATGTCAAAACATTGGGTAATGAGAAAATTTTATCATTGGAATTTTCAAGCAATGAAATATTTCTTATGTTGAAATATAATACCGGTGTTTATTTCTGGAACTACAAACTTAACAAAATGCAACACCATTTTCAAATTCCGGACGAGGTCAAACCAGTACATAGGGTTACAGACTTTTTTGGGCATTTAACGCCTAATGGTGAGTTATTTGTTGTTGCATACGAAGGATTTCTCGTTATAAACAGTATGAAAACCAGTAAAGTAGCTAACATTATTGAAATCAACAGATCAAAGTCTGAAATATTTCTGATGGCCTCTAGTGGTGAATTTTTCGTCAACACGTCAGCTAGAGGAAATGCTATTTCAACGTGGAGGACATCTGCGTTGACCAAGAGTGATAATCAAATCCAACCAATGACGATGAAAACAGCACCAAGGTACATTGCAATCGCAAGGTCGGGTAAAGTGGCGGCTATAAGAGGTAATTTAGGAGGAGAACTTGCAATTTTTGATTTGATAGCTGGAACTCAAAGATTTTATATTCAAGGGGATATTGATGTGATGAAACCCACCATCACATGGGATGGTAAATATGCTGTAGTTCGGGAATATCACTCAGAGGAAGCTGTTAAAATATTTAACACCACTTCTGGCACTTTAGAGATGCCATTACCATTAACAAGCTTACAAGTTAAAGGTATTACTACATGTACTACAATGGTGGCAGTCTATGTCCAGGGAGATGATGATAAAGTTACTTATGTAGACTTATACAGTGTACCAAATGGCAAACTTTTGCATAAACTACATAGTGGCAGACCGTCCTTACATGATATGGTTTTTGATTTCACCGGAAATGAAGAGTTTTTACTGGTTTCATCTCCTCACTTGGAAGGTGACCCCACAGTAGCTGATATTACTGCGTATGATGTAATAACTGGTACAGAATCTTATTTCTTAGAAAATTGTAGGGTTAGGTTTACTACAATGATAATGAATGAATCAGCTTTATTCATAACGCAGAATGTGAGAAAATCTGGTGACGTTGTTGTTGTAGTAGATGTCCAGTCAAAAAAGATACTAAGGGAAGGGAAACTTGAGAGAATGGACAGTCAAAAAGACTGGTCATCAAGTCCAGATGGGCGTTTCTGTATTGACCGAGACCGTCAGCTTTATGATGTTATCAATTTTCAATTCAAGTGGAAATACGATGCAGAAGAAGAGTATCGAAAGCAATCAACGCAACAGACATATCCACGCTTTCTCCATGACAACCACACTGTTATATTTCCAAATATTACGGCAGGGTTATTGAAACTTGCAACCATTGATTCGCCTGAAATAAAGTTTGTTTGTCCAGTACACGGAATACCAGTATGTCTTGAAGTGACATCTCTTGGTATGATTCTAGTTGGTTGTGATGATGGTCGAGTCATGATGCTCCATAAATCTAATAAAGATGACATCGTTACGACAGCAGGTTTGGACGGTGTAGTTAAAAGAGAAGCAATGCGTAGCAAGAAACAACCAAAACAGAAAACAACCAAATCGTCTGTTTGTACAATTATTTGAATGCATACCTCCGTGCAAGAGGTAGATTTGTCATCGTATCTGATGATCTGAGGATGTGATAGTTTATAAATTAGATAATTGTACTACAACTAATTATAAAGTGGCAACTTCCAAGACAAACTATTTTTTTGTTACGATTTAAGCATTTTATTTAGGCCATTTTTGGAATGTTTCCTATTTTTTTATTTAGTCGACCGACTTAAATTTTGACACCTTATAGAGGATACATATTATTTACTCCAGAAATCCGTTTCGCATGTTTAGTACTTAACGTACGTTTATATAAGTTTAATTTGTAACTTAGATCTGAATTGTTATGAAACGTTAATTATGATATGTTTTAATACATTTGTTATATGCTTGAACCACTTATTCCAACACACATATTGTGCTCACTTAAGATGGTTTTATTGATCTTTTTAACAATTTTAATGGGGACTTTGTTATAATTATGCATTTACTAATCTTCTCAGGTAATGAAATGATATTTTAAGACCTTCTTTGCTTTTTATTATATTATTTATTTTTCATACTAGAATTAATTAGTTGACTCAATCATTGCCTTATCCACTTTATGAGGCCACACCAATTTATTTGTTCATATACTTTATTTGAAACATGACCAAAGACACGCTAAACATATTTGCTATTGATGTTCTTAAGCGTTTCTCACTTTTCAAATCATCTACTAGTACGTAACTTTGTTTGAATATTTACGAATGCATTCTTCGAACGCACAAAATTTATATATAAAGTGTTCTTTTTATTTACAGTAACTGATGATTTCTATTGGTCAGTTTTTCTTTTTAATTTACAACTATAAGAGACAAAATCTTTTCTTGAATTCATTATGATTTTATAACGTTCATGATCCTCAATTGGTGATGACAAAGTTATCATTGCATGAAAGCCATTTTTAAGAAAATTTCAAAATAAATGTTTAACTGATCCGTTCAATCATTATTCCTTGGAAAAGTGTTTTTTTTTAAAGTTTGTGCGCCTAAAATGGATATGAATAATGGAGAAGGTCCGGTAAGGGTTAATTTTGGCCTAAAATTTGAAGTACATTTGAAGCAAGATTTTAGACATTTTTCAAACACTAAAGTGTCTACTCTATTCGATCCAATTAGTTTATGTACAATATTTGAAATGATTTGGTCATAAAATACGCTCAAATTCAAGCTTCAATATCAAAAATTTATCAAATTTGCCATAAAACGTCACTTTTCAGATGGTTTTTGTCTAAAATGTAAGTGGCCGCATTCGTGTTCAGTCTCAACCTTTATATATGTTATGTATAATCATCAAATACAACATGTTTTTAAATATCAAGACTGAAAACAAATGCGGCCACTTCCATTTTAGACAAAAACCGTCTAGAAATTAGCACAAGTGCTGAAGTTGCGAAGATTTCAGTAGTTATGCATGAATTACTGATGCTAGTACTTGATGAATATGCATTGTATTGTCAAAAACAGTCCATACTTATGAAATTCAAGTATTCTACTTTCCAATAAATAGCTAAAAGTTTACATTTTAAACAAATTGTTAGAAAGCTATATTTTGGGGCCAAAAAGGGGTCTTACCGGGTCTACTCCTTTAGATAATAGAAAATAAGATAGGTTTGATTTCAGTGACTACATATTTATCTTTATTGTTTTGAAATAAATGTAAATTAAAATGAGTAATCAGGGTATTCATATATTTTTTTTATTTTCTTATTTATTTATACTCATATGATAATATTTGAATACAATTTCAAACTCTGTTGTACCTGAACTTTTATATAACTATGTGTTGTTCTTTATTCATAAATATTTTTTGTTATTCATCTTTAATTGTTAATTGTTGAAACGGTTATATAAAAAGAATAAAATGTGCTCATATATATTGGATTGATATAATTAGTAACAGAAATGTTTTTCCCATATTCATATAAATAAGAAGATGTGGTATGAGTGCCAATGAGACTACTCCATCCTAGTCACAGTGTATAAAAAGTAAACAATTATAGGTCAAAGTAAGGCCTTCAACACGGAGCCTTTGCTCACACACACTAGTAACTCGAATTTAGCTTGAACGGACAAAAACGCATTAACGGCATTTAAAAAAGATTAATGAAAATTGAATAAAGATTGACAAAAATTAAAAATTATTTTTAATGCATTTCAATCCATATCAAATCATTTTAATACCAGTCAAATATACGAAAGTTGGTTTTTTTGACGTACGATACACGGAGAGTGCCATTCCCTAAATACATACGGGTCCACAAACTATTATAATGTAAGGGTAAATGAGGATCTCATTAGAGGAACAAAGTAAAGATGCATGCTGAAGGAAGAATAATTTCCACACGAAGAACATCAAAAAGGACGATCTCTCAATTAGTATGCAACTGTAACTAATACATCCATAGACATTAACACTAGTTAATGCTTTATATACTGACATTGAAACAAATACACTGCTCATATAAAATTTGGCATTACTTTCCCGGGAAAAAGAATACGTTTCCCCAATTAAAGTCTACGCTTCCGGAAATAAATACCTTACTTTTCCGAGAAAATAGTACAATTCCGGTATGTTCAGGCAAAAGTAGTAATATCTTTTAAAGTCAAATCCTAAGGAAAGGATGCACACAAGAGCTAACTGTACACATTCTGGTATGCTGTGTGGTTGAGTTGCTGTCTCTCATACTGAACTATTAGTTCGGTCAAGAAAGACAACTCGTACTCAAAAAAGGGAGGTAACTCAATGTTCTTATAAAGGGAAACGAGTTTATCAGTATTTCCGAGGAACATGTTGATTTTTGCACGCCAACTTGTACATAAATAATTAAATATCGGATCACAACAGGTTTTGAATGTTTGATGATCGATATCCACGCTTTAATCCAATAGTATAATAATTTGTAACTTAATAGGAAACCGAGTTTAGAATCAAATTAGAATTATTAGGGTTTTAATATAATAATTTTAATTAGTTTTTATTATACATTTTTATATATGCGTATCTATTGAAAAAATTTCTTTCTTAATCTTTGAACATTTTTCTAAACATGCAAATTCTGTTAAGAAAAATAGAAGTATTTGATTTTATAAGACAAAATAAAAAAAAAAACAGAGAAAAGAAAAAAAAAAGAAATCTGCCCACCTAAAATACTGAATTTTGCCATGTCTGGTTGAATGACTATATATATTTTGATTCTCATACAGACAATGCATTACATCGGTACAGAGAAAAATTATAAACTCATATTAACTCAATTTAACTATTAACGAACTTAGTGAAATGTTTGCTTCTTTTTTTCATCTTTGAACTTCAAGATGGCGAAATGCATCTAAGTTTAAAATAGAGAACGATTTAAAACAAAATTGATTTCACTTCTTCAATACATGTGGTATACATAACTTTAGCCACTAATAATAAATAAAAAGTATTATGTAATCAAATTTGGTTAAATATCTATTTCAAATTTATGATCTTTTATATGTAAAGGTAGTAAGATAAACATAAATAAACAGAATTAACACCTTTATGTTATTGCTTCGAAAACGATGATGTCCTACTGATTTTATGGCCATCATACTCATACTTATATTCCTTAGTTTTAAGAAGACACATTTAACCAATTAATTGTATGGTGTGTTATAACTTTGGATATCAAAATAAAGGTAAATACAGAAAAGCGCTTTGGACGCATCAAAATCATTAAAGAAGTGATATTGTCAATGTTAGACATGAATCCCAAAGTTTTTCATTTGGAAAAGTTTTTTTTCTAATTTCATTTTACATTTCAGCAGATATAATAAGTACAAGTTGATCCGAAAGACTGTGTCATGACTAAACAATTGCAGAGATTGTTTAAACACTCATTTTTTTTAGTTAGGCTAAATTCCTTTATAGAAGTTAAGCGGAACTTAACCTTTTTTTCGCTTATATTTCAATATCTCAACATCTCTGGTAACTTTTCCCGTTTGTGCATCCAGATAGTACCACCGTGTCCTATAACTATTTTCTTGACTTAAAACACTCAGTATGTCCACATTCTATGACAACCACTAGCTCGTAGTCTTTATTCAATACCGTTTCAATTCAACTCTTTTTCTAACCTTCAGCGCACTCATCGCACATTCTTTGAAAGATCATGTTAAGCGTTTAGTGATGCTATTGATTTATTCAGTCGGTTGTCCATTGAATTAATACAAGCTTCTCATGAAGGGTTGAGACATAAAAAAGAATGAACAATTTTAGTGTGAATGCGCCTTGAAATACAAATGAGAATTTTTTTACATTCTACTGCAAAGTTTTCGGCATCTTAAGGTGCAAACGATTAATTTTATATCATGCGCGGATATGATTGACGGTTTTACTTGGCGTCGAGTGACAAATAGTTCATGCATATTCGGAACGAGAACAAATCAGCAATAATTCAATAAGCATGATAAGAGGAACGACTAGGAGGAATACGATGAAGAACAGAAATTTCGAATGCAACTCGAAAATGATTTTTTTGCCATCAAACCCCTGAAAGAGTTGTTGAAAGGGTATATATATATATATGCTAACGTAAAGGAGATGTGGCATCGGACGTGGCTGCGTGTTTATACATTCAGCACAATGAAGCGAATATAAATAAGAAGATGTGGTATGAGTGCCAATGAGACAACTCTATAACCAAGTTAAAATTTGTAAAATAAAAAATTATAGGTCAAAGTACGGCCTTCAACATGGAGCCTTGGCTTACACCGAACAGCAAGCTATAAAGAATACCCATTTACTGCCAGATGGAAGAAGTCCATATATGTTATACTCCATTGCTTGGGATAATTTTTATACTGGATATGATAAATTAACTAGCCACACACTGGCACAAAAGTCTTGTCCATGCAAAATCATGATTTGTAGAATATTTGTCATACAATAATGGAATTTTCCAATGTACTTTAAAGCAATAGCTTTAAACATTAGCTTGGTTAAAAAAAGGGACATGTCGGTGAAAAGAGAACCATAATTATTTCTAATGGGATTGCATATGGTCTCAGTTGAAAATAAAACGTCAACCTAACATAATAATAAAAAAACATTTGGTCAATAAAAAAAAATCAAACATCATGTCAGTTTCACAGTTTCAACATTTTTGTCGAATTAAGAGTTTTTTTAAAATATGATTTGTCCGTTCCTAAAGCAAGACATTTGTTTTTACTATGGCCTCTTAAAAAAAGATGGACTTATAAGTCTACTTAGACTTTAAATTGATAATGAGGAATACGTGTGTGTATCTTTTATTTGACACAGTAGATGTAAACCTCCATGCATGTTGCGAGACTTTATGATTTCGGTCGTTGTGTAATCAAGTAACAATCCATTATGCGATTTATTTTAATTAAAACTTTTCAAAATATGTTACAGTTTCGAGTATTTTTTATTTATTTTCATATTCGTTTTAATTAATCATTTTATAATTATGTTTATTTCTAAAGGAATATATGTAACGGATCTCCGTGAACTATGACAAAGTATTAAGTAAACACGGGGTATTTTCCAAATACATGTAGCTAACTTAGCCAAATCAAAAGCTCGTCAAAGATAAAACTCTGAAAGATTTCAACTTGATATGATAAGAAAAGTGTGAGAAATTAATAATATATATACGGTCAGATTACACGCATCACTCCCTGTGGAGAACAGTCTTAATTAGCTACTTGAATCACACAAATCAATGTTGGTATCCCGGGGTGTGTAGGTTTATGCAGTACATGTAGTTGAAAAAGTTAATTCGTAAATATTTTTGTTAAATAGTATTGGGAAGTTTATGTGTTTTTCAGGAAAGATATTATTGTTAGTTAGCTTATGGTTATGGAAAAATTATGGAATAATAATTACTAGTATTGAAATTTTAATAATTAAAAAAAATCATGTCATTTGTTGTGTTAAAAATATAGCTGGTGCAACCAAAGAACCTAATCCAATTGATGTTTTATATGGTCACGATATATGGAATAACGATGAAGATTCTTCTTTTATGTCATAAATCCGAAGGATTTTAATTTCCACATGCATCCGCTACAATAACATCAGTCTAACCTAATAATAATACGTGTGTATTTTGTCAAAGATTTTCTTTGAAGCTTTTAGCAAATTTATTTTTGTCATAATAATGAAAAATATATTAAGATTGTTAATTGTTGGAAGTTCACTTTTCAACATAATGATTTCATTGTATACTTCATCCTCTCTCATGATTGAAAAGTGGAAAACACAAAAAAAACCAAAAAAACATATACCTTGTGTATTGCAAGTATTGCTACTTTAATGTAGAGTAAACATGTATACATTCACAATTATATTGTTTATCAAAGTCTTAAAGGATATAATCATACCGATTCATAAAAGTATAAGTGTTTGCCGATGACTTCGTAACCAAGCGTGTAAAATTCTCAATTCCATGACAAATTAAAGAATTTTCAATTTTCAACCATAAAAAGACGGGAGAATTACAAAAGTTAATTTTTAGGCAAACATATCATTTTATTTCCCTGTCTTTGGAGATTATAAAAATATCGACGACAAAATAAGAAAATAACGAATACTATTTGTTATTGAAACAAACAGATGTCAGGGGTTCGCAAAACAATGCCTTCTCTGTATACATTAAACGGGCTACTTCGCTATTTATGGTAGCAAATTTTAAATCAAAAGTGACGGATGTTTAAAATATCTTATTTTCATAAAATTTACATCATTACACAGTTTAAACCTTTAATAAACTTTATTTAACGGCGCGAAGAAGATATTCAAAAGTTAATATAAAGTAATACGGGTATAAAAACTATTTGCCCATACAAATCTATAGTAAAATTAATCGCCGTCTGTGGACAATTA